ACATTTTTTTCAATCTCTTCTTGTTTCTTTTGTTCCTTTTCAATTTCATCAAAAGATATTGTTGGAGCAGACGGTGCTTCAATAATCTGCAACGACAGGTATAAAAAACAGCTTTACTAAGTAGAGGTTTCTTGAAATAAAATTGGTAAATTACAAATGAATCACAAATTTTGCGTAACCATATAACTTAATGTTTCTGGTTATAATTCTAACACTTATGCAGGCAGATCAGACACCTCATAGTTTTTGATAAAACATACCTGGTCCGGATAATCATCCTCATCCGTTGAAGGACTTGTTTCGCCGTCCGATTCTTCGTCCGAAGACCGTTTTTTGTCATCGTATGAAGTTATCGTTATTGAAGGTGGTGACCTAATGCAATGTTCGATGAACCTTATGTGACTTTATCCGGTTACAATTCCAAAAGTGGTGACTATCAAAACCTGTTGAGAACAAAACTCACTTAATTGAATCTTCATCCTTCAGCGCGTCTGCTGGTTCCAACTGTAAAGTTTTTGGTGTTTGTTGGTGTTGTAAAGCCAAAGGTGTTGGAACGTTTATCAGCGGGTAGTCCTAAACAGTGTACCATTGCTCTATTTGATTAATTCAAAAGTGATATTCGACGGCTGTCAAAAAAAGCTTTTACAAATAAACAAATTCAACCTCATCTTCATCGTCGTTGTCAATCACAATTTTTGTTTTCTGATACGTTGTTGCAATGTTTTGATCAAATGGAAAAGTAACCAGCTCACCATCACTTTTGTCCTTATCTGGAAATATATCAAAAAATTAAAACTCTTGTTTCTTGTCTCCACTTCTTTAACATATCACTCCTATAAGCTTACTGCACAAAAAAGTAAGGGTGAAACACTAATTCCACTGCTACTGGAACTTTACCAGATGCATTTCCAGCGCAATGCATCAAGATTATGCATGACTTAAGACTATGTAACTGAAACCTCTTAGGTTTAGTATAATTCGTATCTTCTCGTAGTAGCAATACTATCGGCTACAAACAACGATGCCATCATTTCGCAACAAAATAAGTACTTTTTGAAATTGAAATCAGATTTATTTTCTTCCTCTCAATTTCTTTACTTGCTGCACTCAATCAGAAAACATAAATATTTCATTTTCAGCCTACTTAATTTAAGTCATTTTGACGTTGTCTACAGTTAACCCACTAATGAGAGTGTTTTTCCTATTGTCCAATATATTTTGTTATTCAAGTAACAACGATTTTTCTAAAAAAATACCATGACTTGCGCAATTATCGAGTACGAAGTCAACCAAAAAAATCAACTTTTATGCCCTATGCATAGTATAAAATAGAAGAAAAGAGGAGCAAATATAGGAAGTGGAAAATACAGCTATGCTAAAGCAGCAGTATCTTAAACTGAATAATTCAAAACAAAATATAAACTTTGTATATAGTCAGAATCCTGGTCGGTCTTCGCCTCTGAATCTGTATGTGATTCAGACTTTTCCTCTTCATCACCAAACACTGTTGTCCACATTGGCTTTTGTCCTGCCCATTTGGGCGATTCCTAAACCAATCCTTTTATAATCGCACATAATGATTTAAGACCAAAAAAAAAAACAGAATAGTGAAAAAAATTTGTTGTTTTTGAAGTTGTGTTCAAAATAAATCAAGACCAAGAACAAAGTTGAGGACCAAGTTTTATTTTTGATAACTTCTTCAAACACTTCGTTAAAAACAAAAACAACCAGTATTTGTTGCTACTAAAGACTTGAGACCAATTCTTAAATATTCAATTGCAATAATAGTTTTAAAACCCTTTTTATTGGGTTCAGACAGGAAGTTAAGAAAAAACAATAAGCACAGCGAAAATCATCAGTCATCCTCTCTTTTTTTCCTTTCAGTGACCAAGCACTTCCGTTCAGATGGCTTGAACAAATTAACTACTTCTAAATAATTTTGATGTCAATTTTTCGTCTAGCTGATAATACCCATCTGTCGACAATCAACAAAACTTACATCGTATTTGATAGCTAATCTATTATGGTCAAAAGACTCTAAAAGCAAACAATATATTGTCAAAGTCAATGAATTTATTTATTTTTTTTGCTTAAAAACCATTTCCCCTAAGCAAACAAAAATTTAAGCAAAAATGCTTTAAAGATTTTCTGTCAGGTTTAAGAAAATTAACTGAAATCGCTTTTCTTCATATCTCACCCCGTCATTCCTCCTTTTGCCTCCCTTATATAACGCCCAAAACTTAAAAAGAAGGAAAAACTTGTCTGAAAAACCTTACGTTTAATCTTGACCTTGCTTAATTTGAAATTTCTTGGCTTGAATTGACTTTAAATGGTCTTACTTTTAACCACTATAAAAAATGACTAAACAATAACAAAAAATTTAAATGAATTAGAAGCGAAGGAATGATCAACCATATCATCCCAGGCAACGTTTTCTTTTGTACTGTCAATGTGTTCATCTGTGATTTCTTCCTGTTGCGTTTGGTACTTAGTTTCTGCTTCTGCAGCGTCAATGTATCGCCTGTCACCGCGATAAGTGTAATCAAAGTCTTCGTCGTTATGAGCATCTGTTTGATCCTCAGAACTTTTAGACTGTTCCGTGGAATAACCGCCTTCTGTATCGTAGGTGTAAACAGGTTTCGCTGTACTGTCACTTACATGCTCCGTAGAGCTCTGCTCACAGACAGCTGGGTTTTGACCTTTTACTTCTGTCTGGTCATATCCAGCTTCATAGTCGTAATCATTGTTAGAGCTGCCGGCAGTTGTATACCCGCTATCTCGACGATAGACGACAGCTTCTGCAGTCTAAAAAAATGCACTTTTTGAACATTATAGGCGAAAAAATTTTTCACTGTTAATTGATGTGGTTTTTGTATAACTATCACAGCTAGAAAAACCAGACTAATACTAGTCATTTAAAAATAAAAATTTTAAACTTTCTACTTTTTAATCACACAATATAAATGTAACTGTGCTCGACTGAAAAGAAAAAAGCAACATTACAATAAATGTTTCGCAACATACAGAAGCTGGTGAAGTTGAAAATTGACTTCCAGTTTGAATTTCAAAATTATCACTGATAAAATCACTGTCTTCTGTCTGAACTTTTGCCGACCCAATCTCATTTATCACTGTCTTTCTGTCGTTCTTTATGCTATTTTCATCGTCATAATTTACAACTGAAGACCTATCGAAGGTTGGCTCAATTTGAAGATCTTCAAATGTTTTTTCTGAAATTGAAATTATATTTCAGAATAATTTACTAACTGAACCTTCCAGTGTACCATACCAATGAATACCCTACCTGGAGGTACTATTGCTGGACGTTCGGGGCGTATGTCACTAGCTGCTGAAATGCTTCCCCTTTCTTCATTTTCAGCACTTCTCATGACAGCTAAAATCTTTTCCCGTTCTTCAGGCGATAAATGAGCTAGACTTTCCGCTATTTCGTCTAAAAGGTTTTTTAAATTACTATTCCAAACTTGAACTTTTTTTGCGCTTCTCATATGCTTACATTTAATTACTAGTAACCCCGTATCGCCGTGCAGACTCATTATTTTTTTTTTACATCTTTGCGGGTTCATTGTAAAACTCAGTATAAAAGTAAATTTTGGAAATTAGTGATCATATTTTCCAAAATCTCACCATTCAGCTGAGTGGTTGTTACAGGTTCCGGTTGTACTTGTTCGACGCTTTGTGGTTCATCAAAGGATGCCTTTTGCCTGATCATTTTCAAGGGGCCTTTTGAATGAACTTGTGAGGCAGGACTGTCTTCAGCAGAATCTGTAGTTGAAAATGGTTCTGTAGTCCCAGCTTGAGATATTGACTGACTTCTGCCTTGGGCATCCCTCCGACCATTCATCGAATCTTTGTCAGACTCCAAATTCAAGAGCGTTGAAAATGAGCGACTAAATTAAGTCATATTTTATCAAAGGTTCAATAAAAAGTTGCTTCAATTAATTTCCCATACTGAAAACTCACTAAATTTGCCCGTTTTGTTCAGTTTCAACTTTATATATATTAATGTTGAAGCAAAAGTGAATAATGAAATAACTGATCATCAAACGATAGCTGCGAAACAAAACAATAATAAAGGATTCCAAGTGGTAACTTATCCTCCTTCCCTAGTCTCCCTCTTTCAACTTCTGCCATCGTACCTTTTGTTAATTTCGGTCGGGATGGAATCTGCTGTTTTCGATGCAGTAAGTTTTGGAGCCATTGGCGCAAACCCTTGGTCGGCATCAAGTTGCGCGCAAGCAAGTTTGGCCATAATTTGGTCCCTTTCCTCCTGCGACAAATTTTCCAAACCGGCTGGTAGACTTTCTTCAGCTCGCTTTACGGTACCGCCACGGAATGGATTTTCCCATACTTGCGTCTAAAAAGTTATTGTTTTTTTGATCGACACGACTGAGATAGAACCTAAAATGGAAGAGAAAGAAAAAAAAACAAATTGCCGGTGATTTGTTCACCACCATGGTAATAATTATATTGCTGCATTCGTGGTAAATGAAGTTTTCTGCATTTTGAACGGAAACAGTTTAACGAACACCGTTACAGCGATATGCAGATGGGTAATAGTTATTCTGAGCTGTCTATTTCATAACCAAAAAAAGTTACAAATAACATTCAAAAAAGCCGAAATAACTCTTTGAAATTGCATGTGAAAAAAAGCCAAAATTCTTTGCTTAATAAAGAATTTTAAAAATATCTAATCGCCCCCCTCGTTTTCCCGAATTAATAAATGCATTTCTTTTCTTTCCTTCTAATTCTTTCTTCTTCTCCAGCACCCTTCATTCATATCCTCTTTAATTTACAACGATAGAGCAAGAAAAAAAAATTCATTGATGTAGAATTGGCCTCCAACAAGCAAATATTTTTAAAAAATCCAAAAGAACTACTACCCGTAAAAATCCCCTCAACTGAAATATGATATTCATGGAAAACAATTTTCGATTAAAATAACCCAACCAACCAGTCATCTAACTCGTCTGCCACAGGAACTCTGCTACAGGAACCATTGTGAAAAAACAGTTGTGAAATGTGAAAAACTAAAGAAAGAAAAAAAATAAAGACAAAAAATGATGCTACAAAGAAATTGTTTTTTAGTAAACAAAACGATCGCCCAAGAAACATATTATTTTGGCATAATTATTTCTCATTTTTATAAGTTTCTGTTGCGTACAATAATACGCTATTTTCAGGGTTCACGTGTAACCAACGTTTATCCTTTGAAGAAATCTAATCATACCGCTTACTACACTAATAATACCAAAAGGCAGCCTAACCAGTAACCTTTGATTTTTATTGCAGATTCTTATTTTGAATGCATGAATTTTGGACACCCTTGAACTGTTCAGACACTACAGAGTTCAGTGTTCATTTGGTCAAGACTAAGGACATTTTACAGCATGAGTTTCAATTTTTAATCCATTTAAGAATTGGTGTCAGCCCGGCAGTCTACAGCTCCGGAAAAGATGTGACTTCTGGAAGCAATCAAGATATTAATTTCCCCCTCAACAAACACGACTAGCTATCATGGTTAATTCGTTTATGCTCTTTTTTCTTCGCTGCCTCATTCTTTTTTCCCTCTTGCTTTTAGCAGTAATAATAAATGCAATCCATAAATTTTTGATTATAACATTTTTTGCTTCTTACTGAAAAATAACAATAATTTAAGCTTTGAACAAAAAAGCAAGAAAAAAATGAAAAAAAAAGATTTTCCAAGCCTAATTTTTTTTTGCTGCATTTTCCACACGAAATACTGTAGAATTTACCCTTTTTTAATCCTTTCGTTTTGTTTCCTTAAGTTTTTGCCATTCCCAGTTCCACTTAACAGGTTCTCCAAAAGATAATTGCAAAACAACACAAAATAAACCAGTACAGTGAAATACCCATTCAGCATTGAGCTAAGATGATTAAAAGAATTAATTTGAGATGTAGAAGAAGACGAAAAGGAAGGAAAAAGAAGAAACAGAGAAAAAAAAAGACAAAAATTTTGGCATCTATTAGACAGATTTTACTGATCCAAAATTGTCCACTGTTAGTTTCAATTGGCTGTTGAATAAATGTCAAGAAGAGTATAGAAAAGAAAATCACATAGTCTCCTTCGATGTTCAAAAATTAAGTCATTGCTTCAGTGCTCATCGATATTCCAAGTGATACACAACTGTACAGCAGTGTGGAAGTTATAATAATATTAAATTAAAAAAACTTTTTTTATGATTTCATCTAAAAGAATTGGCCACAGATTCTGTTTTTTACCTTATTGAAAGGCATCGCAACAAACATCCGTATAGATTGCCTACGAGCACACGACGTATATATAAATATATCTCTGTGTGAAAATGATGAATAGCATAGAATGATGTCAACTTCTTTTAAAGATCCTTCTTATTTGCAAAAAAAAAAAAAAAGAAAAAAAAGCTTAAACCCATCAAAACAGAGGCATCGTAGCCCCCTAATGACAAAATAACTTTTTCGGAACAAAAGCAAAAAACGCAGAAAATTTGACAACTCCTTTTGCTTCATAACATTTATTGTTCAAGAAATTTTTTTTATCTACATTATTTGCGCACCGATGGTATCCAATTTTAACCTTCACAGAAGTTGATATCAATAAGCCCAAAAAAGAATTGCTGTCTTTGATTTGTTTTCTGTCAATTCTATTTTCTTTTTAAACAAGAAAAATGATGATATAAGCAGTTTATCATTTTAAAATCAGCTGATTTCTTCTTTTTTCCTATTCTTCTTGTTTTCTACAATTTTTTCCGGTGTTTCCGGTCAACTGCAATTTTTTGCGCTTTTTTTGTTCTGTTTTTGCAGAACTGAGAAGCATAGATATATACACCCGCAAAAAAACGGGAGAAATCCAACGCATGAAAAAGACAAACAACAGTGCCAAATAGATAATCCAAAAAGTTGGAACCAAAGTTTGATCAGATTTTTTTTTCCGAATTGTTTTTCTTTTGATTCTTTTTTTTTCTTCAGTTTCATTCTTTAGTTTGTCTTTTCTTTTTTTGCTAATCAACAAATAGCATCGGCGCAGTAATTTTTAAATGCATAGAGTAATGGCAAATTTAAGAATTTGTTCATTTACTTTTAAAAAGCTAATTTGGTTAAATTTTTTTCAGATAGTGAAAAAGAATCGAAAATGACAACAGGAATGTGGATGTCGAAGAATGTATATTGTCGTGTCTGTTGCTGCCGTGAACTTTCTTTTGATTATTTTTGAACGATCGACAAAAAAAAGAAAAAAAAGGAAACTTGAATTTATATAATTTTTGGAAAACTGAATATACCCTAATTTTATGTCAGTATTACGATCTAGTGTTTTTTCGCTTTGGTCTAAATGTCCTTTTTTTTTCATTTTTTCTCTTGATTGTTACAGTTTTTTGCTACACCAGTATGAGTCCGATCGGCAAACCCATTAAATAGTATTGTTATTCGTATCTGTAAAATAAATCCAAAGAGCCATCTTGCTAAAAGAGGCTAAAAGACAAAAAAAAAAAAGCGAACTTAACTCTGAAGCTGCTGCTTTTAAATACCACAGATGGGATATTTTATGATAGGAGAACAAAACAAAAAAGTTGCTCTTTTTCTCCCAAATTTTCGAAACCCAAAAAAAAAAGACCTGTTGTTATTTTAGAAAAAGCCAATTATCAGATTGTTTAAGTGGATTAGAAGTTTTTTCAGCCAGCAAAAAAAGAAGTAAAATAAAAAAAATGAAAATTACCATCGAAAGTTTCTCGTTTTTCTCGTTTCGACAATGCAGTCAAAAAAGGCAAACGAAAAAAATGAGAAGACAAAGTTTAGCCTGTGCTTTTTTGCAATCAAATAAGCTACACTTATTGAGCAATTTACTAATACTTATTAATCGTATTAAGGTTTAAGTCTTTCCCCTTTTTTTGTTGCCTAAAAAGTGTGAGAAAAACTCTAAATCATACCTTCACCTCTCTGCATATGGCCACTAGTTAAGAGTTTTCGTGTATGCCAAAATTGAATAGCAAAAAAATTCTGTTTAAATTTATTACTGATAAATACCGAAAATAAAGATAAAGAGGAAAAATCCCTTTTTTTCTTAAATTCAAAATGTTCAAACAATTTGACAGTCCTTTTTTCCTTCCTTATTTAAAAAAAATTCAATGGCAACAAAATTGTAATCACCAGATGAACCCTAACATTTACTGCTTGAAGAAAAATCTGAACCAGCAGCAGAACCATTTTCAATAATAATCTTTGGTCCCTTATTCGAAGATATCTATACACACAAACACACACATACACACATTTCCAATTCCATGGAAATTCATTTGTCACCCCCAGTGGGCAACCAATCCAATTCTGCCACTGCATCAAAAGGCGCCAGTCAAGATGTGCTGGATACAGATTCTTTTTTCATCAATTTTTTTTTTTTTCGTGCACAATCTGTCACTCTCTCAAGTTTAAAAAATAAAAGAGAAATTTAAAACCAATTATTATAAAAACTGTGGAAACCTTAAGCAACCAAAAAAATTTTTTTCAACAAAAATATTAAAATTTTTTTTGCTAATTACACCATTACGGTTCCCCCGTTTTCTCAAAATATTTCCATTAGGTCAATTTTTTTCTCAGCAACAATTTCTTTAACAAAAGTCTTTTTTCTTTTTTATTTCTTACCGCATATAAAAAATCCCTAATAATTGGCAAAAAATGGAAAAAGTAAATGGAAACAAAGAGGAAAAAAAAAATGCTAGTCAGTGGAGCAGGAGGAGACGGGAAAGGGGATAGAAAATGAGGAGGAGAAAACGGGAATGGAATGGGACACTGGAAAAGGCAAAATCAGAGATACACTCAGAAGAACAAAACTGCTAAAAAAATGATTTCAACAAAAAAGATCAAAGCAGAGCAAAAAAATTATAAAACTGCGCAACAATGTACCCCTCATCTCGATTTTTCCCATTTTAAAAATTGAAAAAATTAAGTAGTTTTTTTTTCTCTTCAATCTCTTTTTGTTCGAATAGAATACAGGATAAGTAATAATGAACGTAATGAATAACAACAAAATATTGAAAAATTAAATTCTTTATTTTTCCCCCCTTGCTTTGTTTCCCTTTTGCTTTAAAACTACATAAAAGGCAGATAAAAGAAGAGAGTGTTGTAGGAACTGAAGTTAACCATTAAAATTTCCAGAGTGTGAGTGTGTGTTTTGTCGGTGTCTATGTATTTATATCGGTGCACTAACGTGCATGTTTTTATAAAAGGCATGTTCACTAAGCTTTTGGTTACACATATTTGTTTCCCGAACACATTCGGAAAAAACAGAACTCATAAAAGTAATAGACATAAGGTAAAAAAAAGCTAAAAAAGCTAAAAAAAAAAGAAAGTTGAACATATTTTTTGTCCATTCAAAAACAATTTTGATTGGTTGAAAAAATTCTCCACAAAAAAAAAAAAAAAAAAAAAAAAAAAAAAAA